TTCTTGGTGTGAAAATAAGCTCTTGTAATGCAGCAATTTATGGTGAGCTTGGAAGATACCCACTTTATGTTAATCGATATGTTCACATAATAAAATATTGGTTTAAAGTGATACATTCAAGCAATATCATTGTTAAATGTGTGTATATAAATACATTAAATCAGTGTAAAAAAGGAGTGAAAAACTGGGCATATAAAGTAAAAGGAATTTTAGATGAATTTGGTTTTTCTGAGGTGTGGAATTGTCCTGAACTTTATAATCCAAAAGAATTTGTTAATATTTTTAAACAAAGAGTCATTGATGTTTTTAAACAAAAATGGTTTCAGATATTGTTAATAATAACGTTTTAAATACATTTGTATAGATATATCAAGGATAATTTTTCTATGGGAATGCTATTTAGATAAAATTAAGTGTATGAAATCAAGACAACAATTAACCCGTCTCAGAATATCTGCGCATAATTTAAGAATAGAATCTGGAAGATATGGTAGAAACAGACTTGAAAGACATGAGCGCATATGTCAACTTTGTAATACACAAGATATTGAAGACGAATTCCATTTTATACTTGTTTGTAATTTGTACCAGGAAATACGCACTAAATTCATTAAAAGATATTATTATAAAAAACCTAGCATGTTTAAATTCATAGAATTACTTCAGTCATGTGAAAAGTCTATATTATTAAATTTATGTAAATTTATTTATTTTGCAAATAGTAAAAGAAAAGATATGTTGATAAGCTTAGGTTATACATAAAATGTAATGTTAAAATGTTGTTATTATTTTCATAAATATTGTTAACGTTTAGATTTCGCTATTAATTTTTATATTAAAATGAGATTATTCTGATATTAAAAATGAGATTATTCTGATATACATTTATTTTATACAAAATCAATTTTTTTTCGCAGCAATATATGTTCATTCTCCAATATACTGTAAATCTTTGAATTATATCATGTGTTTATCTATTTATAATATTTGATATGTGTAATGTAACAAGATACTGTATTGTATACGTTACGAAATAAAATTCTGTTCTGTTCTGTTCTGTTCCTGTTAAATTTAAAGGATTTAACCCGTCTCTGCACTAAGGTGACGGTATGTGATCATATTTTGAAGTATATCGTATTGTTTCATGTTTGCAAAGTTACGTAACTAACTAGCTAATAATACTAATATGCAATTTGAGTATTACACCTTTACTTTACAAATTTCCAAAATAAAACAAAAAAAGACAAACAATATGATTGGCTTTTCACTGTTGTAATACAACAACTATCAATATCCTTTTACAAACATCATATTTAACCGCGACTGCAAACTTCACTACAACTAACTATTTATAAGCTTCACCATCAGTTTTTTCCTTGACCGCACGGTACCCTCGTGCATGACTCAAGGCAAAAGGAAGGCTGCAGCGCACTTTATCTTCGACGTTTACGTTTTGAGCCTTAATCATATCAAAATGTACAAAATCTGTACTACATGTCTGCGGTCAATGAAATAAATATAGACTTGACTTTAAAAGTGTATATAACATTTTCAAATTCATGTCACATTCTTTATAGTGCATTTACCTTTTAAAATATAAACTTTGAAGTACATATACGTGCTTGTTTTATTTCCGCAAGATGTAATTACAGATGGTTTAAGGATTAAAATACATTATGATAATTAATTTTAAGAAGTATATGTGTGAATTTCATTAAATAATAATGTACAGGGATCCAGACGCCTATAATTTTGGATAACAAATCTCATGTACGATAATGACATATATAATGCATTGTAAAGAGAAAAACATTTCGTTCATTTCTTGTAAAGAATATTTTTCGTTGAAACGACACTGTGGTTTATTTCGAAGCCACTATTAAATGTTTAATATTCTGCGCACGGAAAGCAGAGCTAAGCACATGTAGAGCGTTTTTTGATCCTGACAACTAAAATAAGTTTAAAGATTTTCATTTCATATCAATACTTTTATAAGTACAAGTACAATAAAGCGTTAAAATGTAAACAAGTAAAAATTCAGTTGACCTCTGATATCCATATATGTGAATACTTAACAAGTACCTATTCTAAATTAAGATAAATTAGCAACAAATAATTAAAAGTACATTAAATACTGTGAAATCATTTAAATTTGCTGACAGGAAATTTTCGCGCAAATGTCATTAAATGTAAGTTTTTACGGTCTTTAATTCGATATCAAAGCATTTGTAATATATATTATTAATTTAATACAACATTGTTAAGGTATTGATTTCTAACCCCGACATTACTTAGAATTTGAAATCAAATCTTTTTTCAAGTATATTCCCCGCAATGTAATGTATAACAAATTGTGGTTTGTGGTTGGTTTATGCATCTTTGTGTATCTCAAAACTGTTAATAATTTGACTAGAGCTAAAATATGCTGGTAAAATGGGATTTTCGAAAAATCTCCAATATAAAATGTTTCTAAAATTATCAAGTGTTATATATTTTGTTAAAGATGCAAAAAGAAAACAAAAAAAGATTTCTTTTAAAATGTAATAAAATCTTAAATTTTGTAATTAAGTAATAGAACACAAATGAATAGTTTCGATGTAAATCGTTCAGCAATAGTTTCTTTTTCTTTCGGAATATATCAAGGCATTATTATTTTCACAGTAGAACAACTTTTCAAATGATTTGTTAGATGCTAAGAAAATAATACATGTAATTTACATATGAAATCTACACAAATGAAACGTACATGTAAACATATCTATTCAATTTTAGTATCAATTAGATGTGTGAAATTAAAACAAATATCTATCGCAGACTCTGTAGGAATCTGTCTTAATTGATAATATTTTAACTGAACATATGTAGATATTTATCAAAACAAAACTCTATAATGTGTGCAGTGATGTATATTACAGTATAGTACAGATTATTACAGCACATTGTATTATAGTACAGAAGTTTATTACAATACAGTACAGTTTCTTGAAATACAGTTTCTTACTTTACTGTACAGTTTATATTGTTATCTTTCTATAATATCGTGCACATATCATTATGAAAATGCAGTATAATTGTGACTCTAGTTATTTTATTTTAATTATTTTATATCAAATACAGTATGTTAATTACAGTGCAGTTTATTGGAGTACATTACAGTTCAGTTTCTTAAAACACAATGTATAACAGTACAGTACAGTACATAATTGCAGTGTAATGCGATGCAATACACTTCAGTTTAGTACACTATAGTACAGTACAATGCAATACAGTACAGTACAGTACAGTACAGTACAGTACAGTACAGTACAGTAAAGTAAAGTAAAGTAAAGTAAAGTAAAGTAAAGTAAAGTAAAGTAAAGTAAAGTAAAGTAAAGTAAAGTAAAGTAAAGTAAAGTAAAGTACAGCACAGCACAGTAGAGTACAGTACAGTAATATTATATTGAAATTGCACAATAATTTTGTGTCTACATATTTTTTTTAATAGTTTTATATTTATTAAAATATGTTAAAATTCAAATTTATAATCGATTCACTTTAGCAGTAATATACATATACCTATATCAATGTACTTCAAACATATTCAAAGATAATGTGAAAGCTTCCAAATAAATGCTATATGATAATATTGTAAATGTAGTACATTAATTAAGTATCATTTTGTTTCTCATAGGTGATTTTAATTTAGTATAGCAAACACAGCTAAATTAAAATTGTGCTTACTCAGCCATTTTCAAGCTCATATTTTCTAGTAATAAACCATTCATCTACATTTGTTTTTATTTTGTTTTACTGAACGTAATATGATAATAATTAATGATGTGGTTGAATTATGAGTCGTCTGCATAACCACAGCTTTTCAGCAAAATCTCCATGTACAATTTTAACAACTTCTCCGCTTCAAATGCTCAAAGTATCTATATCTTTACACATTATTTTCATATTGTCGAAAATTTCTTGAATGATTAAGTATTTTATTAAAATTGTAAATCTTTTATTTTGTTTTTCATATCTTGTTAGATTATATATGTGAAGTCCTTTTGTTACTGTCATTTATCCCTTTTTAAGCCCTGATTTTTTTCCACACTTCATTCAGTTAATTTTGTTATTTTATTTTTTCTCTCGATCATTTATTGCTGCTGCTTTATTTACAGTGGTGTGAAAGGAATCTGTTTCATAAAATTAATTATATATATACATGTCTAAAATGTTAATACGATAATAACATTAGTTTAACTTAAACTAAAACTGAAGAATTTTATTTCATTTGAAATTAATTGTGTACATTTTAATAGGAAGAAAGTTGCAAACAATCTTCATGGAAAAACATGGTCACTTAAATGCTGGTAAACTAAAGTAATAACCCTAAAATATAACAATATCTTTAATTGTATTATAACGGGTACAGTGTGTATAAATTTATATGATATAAAATAGGAAAGTTGATGCGTGACTTGAATAGAATTTCGGGATCATGAATTTAAAGTAGCCATAAAATGATATAACCAAATAAAATTTAACCACTTCACATGTTTTTATTCCTGATAGCTGTCGCAAATAAATCTTTTACTCAACACAATTCAAATTAGAAAAGTCAATAGCCCGAAGAAGGGCTTAAATCTTAAAAATAGTTTATGCCCCAATTTGAATTTTAAAAAATTAATGCGAAACTCTGTACGAAAAAAAAGTGTAAACGTAAAAGGATGATAAAAATAATTTCAAGTTGGAAAATATTATTAAAATGTTAGACGGTGGACATTTTCTACTTAAGGCGATTTAACACGCGTTTTGATGATGTTGCTTTTTTTTTATCTGTGACTGATTTTGTAGTATTTACAACCGTCATATATCATTTTAAGACAAGTGATTCTTTGAGTTCGGTTACAGATCAAATGGACAAGCTAAGACATTGTACGTTATCACGGGGACAGGAATTTCACCTTGTGATACAGCTGAAATTACGTAACAAAATGTTCTATCTATAATACATCAAAGATTTCTACCTTGTTTGATCGCTGTAGATCAAGAACGCATATTGTCCCCTTTTGTCCCTTTTAACCTCCAAAAATAGGTAATTACACTCGTGGTCAACAGCCCTTCAAATCTTTGACCAAAGGCAGGTTATTGGTCTACAAGAAAATTAACACTGATAAGATTTGATAATAAAATATTGAAATTTTACAACTCTAATACTTCGATAAGAATCAGTCAGATTTTACTTTCAACATTTGAACATTAATTAATTTTTTATTGCGCTTTATTGAATAGGTTGTAAAAGTTAAACAATCGAAATCTACGATTTAAATATTTGATAATAAAAATGTTTGACAGTATTTTCTTTGAATTCAATATTTTCAATTGATGTAGATCCTTAACTCATCAAAGTTCTCCCGTGAAAAATCGGGATTATATTCATTATACATCGAAATCTTTGTTTATAATTTTTATCTAGACAGCCATTGCGACGAAAATGGGCTGGACTTCACGCATGAGTGATATTCACTTCTTTAAACAACCTAACTATATTAGCGAGTCGTTATACATTAAATTTCATTCGGAAAATAAAGTAAGATCACTCACCTGGTTTTGAAATACCATTTATCGATTTAAATTAGTATAAACTTAAAGACTGTTTACATTGATTGATTCATCGAAGTTTTAAACAGTTTTGCCGTAAATAAAACCTGTCATTTATGACATAAATGTTGTAAAAAAATCCGGACTATCATTAAGAGTATATGAAGTGTGTGTATTTTGCGGTCACGTGATATTCTTGAGAATATTTCATTGGCTGTTGTACTAAAGACATGCTCAGTGGCTCTAAGTCATTGAAATGAATTTGATGGAAAGGAATATGAGGTACTGGTTAATGTTGTGTGTTTGTGTGTAGATATGAGTGCTTTCTAGCACATAAAAATTGTGAAATAGTGATAAAAAATAAATTAAGAATTATGAATTCATACTATAACAGCGTCGTACCGGCGCATGTACCTTCTATGAACACTGGACAGTCGGACGCGTTTTACAGCCAAGAAGGAAAATCGCATTCCGTGGATATTAATTTTCATTCTAACCCTCAAAATATGTGCTACGAAAACGAATCTGGAAATTCTTACGGAATGACTAACTATCATGGATTCCACCAAACAAGTTATGACAAGTTTGATTCCGGCGGACACGGCCGGATAATGAACTTGTCGGCGAAACATATGCCGCCGTTCAGTAATAACGGATACTATTACCAAAATGCAAACAATTATCTCAACTCGTGCAATGTTAATTCAAATGTAAACTTGACTAGTGGTTCACCGCCGGGACTTGGACAATATCCCGACGATAGACATGTTCATGACAGATTAAATAATTTAAAATCTGAAGAGAACTGTATACCAACGCCCCCGCCAAATACTTTTTCACCTCATGAGCAAAGTTTCAACCATATAAACAATAATCCAAGTCATCACGGGCTCTCGCCGACGGATATGGTTCATAACAATATGAGTACGAGCCCGCCAATTCCTCAACATTGTAACGGCATGATGGGGAACCCCTACCCATGGATGAGACAGCTTCCTGGTATGTATAAAGATAGACAAATATTTTACATGTATTGCTACTATTTATGGAGAAATTGATAGCGTTGATCTATCCCAACAAAATTTGATATAACATATTCTTTTTCACATTGCGCATGTAAACAAACCAAATACATTGTACACATCATTTATTTTCATTTATGTACACAAGTTTTATCTTTTGCCGCTGATTTAGGGCCATTTTAAGATTTATTGTCTTATTTATTTGTTTATTTATGGCTAGAAACAAAACAAAACTTTAAACAGGGTCTAGATTTATTAACATATACATTGTCAATTTTTTTTCACGGAAAATTAAAAAAAAAGGAAATTTAACACGAATAGAAACCGGTTTCGAATCGGTATTTTTTACGCCTTGAAGTTAAAGTTTTTCTTTATAATAATTGCGAGACATAATGTTTTTCATCACTTACGAAAGATCGTTGATAAAACGTCCCGCAAGACGAATATGTTTTGAAAGAAAAACTTTAAGGTCAAATGACCCGAATGATTTTAAACATATTTATTAGCTAACGCGTTAAAAATTACAAAAGTTAACCAAACACCTCAAGACAATAATAGATAAATGGCTTTTTAACATCCTTAGAGTTACATACAAATAAATACATTTTATACCCAAAATAACACGGCGAAACGCTTATAATAAAAGAAAAAAATAACACCTTAAGGGGAGCGTGATTTAAGAGAAATTTAAGTATAAAATGACCTATAAAAATTTAGAGTTTTAACTTAAAGTTAGATGACCTGTAAAGCATATTTAGTCATTTCCATTGAACAATTTATCTATAGCCAAAATAAAAAAAGAAAACACTTCTTTTTTCTTCATATTTTGGTTAGAATTTATTGTTTTAGATATAACAATTTAATTTTCAGAACAGCTACCTAAGAAAATTTAAAGAAAATAAATATTAGGGATGAGTAAACATTTTCTTTATATGCCATCTGCTGCCAGTAAATAAAATATAAAAATAAAGGGAACTGTCTTACTTAATGAAAAGATTGCTGTTTATCAAAAATCTTTAATGTAGCGACACGTTTTATATATGCAGCAATGAAATATACATTTTATAATACACATATATTTTTCCCCGTGAATATTTTTGACTATCAACAAATATTATAGTTGCACCGCAATTATTATGATTATTTTAATTTATTCAACAAGAAAAAATAGATCTATTTAAACACAACTAGAAAAGAAAACATGTTTCAAATTGCATACATGTATAATATTTATAATTTGTATAATATATATAATATATACTTGCTAAATATTTAACATTTTGAAAATAAATATTCATTTCTTTAATTAATATTATAAACATATCTCTTTAAATGATAACTTCCAACAACTGGTATATTTTGAAGTACTATTGTAGCCAAAATATAAACAAGCAAGTAGTTTTTTAAAATATTTTTTCTCTCTGAATCTACTTAAAACATGGTAATATGTTGAAAAATAAAACTAAATTCCCAAAGCTAGTTTTACAAATATTTTTCTCATATTCGTGTTCAATGATTGTATATAGGGAGTTTTTTAAGTTTTTTATGGTAGTTTTACGCACGGTTTCAAAAGCAAATTTTTGAAATAGTGCCAAAATGTGCATTAAAATCTTTGTCTAGTCTTGAGCATAGTAAATACCTTCAAATAATACTATGAAAAGAATCGCTGACTGGGTTTGTAGAAAATACTGACAATTATCAGCTAACATTAGTAAAGTTCAAGTTTTGCATAATTTTTATTTTAACCACTCATTATTCCTTTTCCATACAACTGTCGTCTGCTAGTTTAAAATTCGAAACTAATTTGAAGGTCGCAGTCATATTTCAATGGTAAATTAGACTTGTTACTTCCAGGTGATTATTTTTGCATTAATCTTTCCAGACAAAAATATTACGTTCATTTAATAATGGAAATTGGTTGACTATAGGTATTTCTTCTTTTCTCTTGCGTAGATCAGTTTGTTTTCCGAACAATGCTAGGAATTCTTTTTGAATAAAAAAGTTTTTTTTTTTTTGCTATTTTGTTGATTTGAAAAAAATATTGTATTTATTTCTATCACGGTTCAGTAGAAAATGAAACAACACAAATTGTAGCTAATTTTTCCTGTCCTTGTTTCTAATAAATTTCCCTTTTAACATAAATATCTAATATATTTTAATTTATTTTTCCTCACATATATTTACAATATAAAAATATGTCAACACGTGACTTAGAAATACAGTAGTCTGTAAACGGGTTTTTCAAATAAATAAAAAACAAAAAGAAAATTAAAAATACAATCACGTGCCACAAATGCAGCGCAGACGACAAAAAGATATCATGTAACTAAATAAAAAATTAGTATTACAATAATACTATAAAAATATATTCGTAATTCTTCTCTCTTTTTTTTGCAAAATAATACTTATCTTAATAAATACTTCAACTTTAATATAAATTCAAATGAACATATCAATGTATCCTTTACTGAAATATAAAAAAGAATCTACTAAAAATGTATATAAAAAATTGACATTTCTTGTTTTATCCGCACCAGTTAGAAATAATCCCATATTTAAGTTGAAAATTTCGGCGGTAAATTTCACGTAACAAAGACCTGCAATGCTTCAAATCCATTTAAATCTTTTAAACATACTGCTATTTGTGTTACATCAAACATGAAAAAGAAAGAAAAAAGCACTGAATGTGTACAAACCATTTAGTACAATCTTTATATTTTAACATTGTCATATATTATGGAAATTATTCAGTAAATTATTTATACCTGTATCAAATTAAAGCTGTGATGTATATGCGAAAAGTGTGATTTTATTACTAGATTTTGTTGGATGAGGGGCATTATTTTGTCAGGTCGGCGTCTGTCGCCGTAATAAACTAAGATGTACGAGAGAGCCGTGTTATAAATTTGAGCTGGTTTTCTACATGATTACAATTAAATTTTAATATAATCTTTACCAAGATGCGCCGATACGAGCATGATTTAAGAAGCGGTGTACAAGGGGTCATCAAATAAATTAACTGTTTTTATATTCGATCCTCTAGTTTGTTTATTTCTATATTTGTATCTGTTCGACTCATTGCATTTGAAAATGGCGGCATAAATCTATTGAAGTTAATATTGCATATTGATTTATGTAAATTATGAATTTTATTTTTACAATTCATCGCTTTAGAAAATACAAATTTTCGCATTCAATGAACATGATCTAGACAAAAATTAGGTAATCATGTATATGTTGATAGAAATATTTATGTATTTTATGCATCCATATGTTTTTGAGAAAGAAAAAATAGTAATATGTATCATCGAAAGCAGAAAGCTTCAGTAAAAAACGAAAAGTTTTACCAAGACGAATATACCAAAATATAATAAAAATATATGAAAAATGCAAAAGAATTAACGCCATTTTCAAATGCAAATAAACACATGTTAGTTGTTACACGAAAACTACTACTGTTAATGAAATGAAATAGGCATTACACAGTTTTTTTAAGACAACATATAAAAAATGTATGGAACCAAAAAATATAGAATATCCTTACGATAAATCAACAACAACAAGAAAAAACAACAACACAAAATGAAACAAAACAAAAAAATAAAAACATAAAACCCTTCAGTTCACAATTATTCAAGAGTGATAAAACATGCAATGAATTCATATCACATTAAATAGAAGAAAATGCGATATAAACATATGTGTTAAATAAACTTGATGAATAACACGAGCGCTTACATTGCGGTATTTGAAGTCTCATCTACACTAACCACAATTGCCGACAGCTAGAATAAAGCAAACAATGATCAAGTCATTTGAAAATTACTTTATTTCTGTATTAATGCAAAGCGATAGCCTTGATGTTGACATTGTTTTACGAACGCTTTGCATATTCCATTAACGCTTAATATGCACTTTTCTCTAAAACAAAACGAAATAGCTTAAATGTATATGAACTGTGATACTAATATATCTTAAAACGGTACTAATTTTATTAATTTCACAAATCATGATTGTGTTTATGCTTTACACAAGAAATCATAAAATTCAACAGTAAATAGCATTTCAAGTACGGGTTTACAGCCGAATCTGTCATTACCGCTCATATTTTGTGAGTTTTTTATGACTGTTTTATCCCCGTCTGGTCATTAACTCCGCACCTCTGCCCAAGACATAGTTTCTCTTTCAGACCCAAGAATAAATTACATTCAACTAGCTACTGTTAAAAACCTGTAGCCGAAATTTGACGTCTAAATCATATTTATGTTTCAATTTCGGATGTAGCGGGTGTAAATCATTTTAAATTGGACATACTTTGATTGGTTTTCAACATCAAAAACGTATGTCTAGTGATGAGAAAAGGGTCTTAAGGGAGTTGTTAAGGTCACAGGTCAGTCTTTTTATTAAGCGTGACATATTCACGGAACAGAGACGCATGGTTCCCAGCAATGTTTTCACGTCACTTGAAACGGAAGCACGGGAAAATGGATGTTTTTTCTCTCTCTTTCTTTGCAAATTAATCAACGCTCGTTCAACGAGAAAACACAAGAATTTTACTTCCTCTGTCGCGAATAGCTCAAATTCTGAATATTTCGACAATGATTTACGCAAAAAGATACTTTTTTCTCATTGATATATTTATTTATTAATTTTGCTTGACCTTATTAACCGTTGGTTAATAATGTTAATGGCCATCGAATAGAAATAGGTCTTTCATCTATAAATAGAAATAGGCATATGCACTTGTTCTTGAAATTCCCATCGTACCTTGAATAAAAGATTATTTAATTAGGGCATTAAGCCATAAGGCCAAACATTTATTTTTTAATAATTATCTATATGACCTATGTTAAACTTGTATTGTTATGAAGATGGCTATTTTGCTTGAGTAAAAAAATAATGTTCTCTTCAGAAATGGAGTTTACTCATCCATCCATTTTTACATGAAAAAAGAAAAACAAAATAGATATGTAAAAG